TATCGCTCTTTAGCGCCCTTCAAAATTTTTTCCTCTTTTTTTTCATTATTTTTTTATGCCAACTCCAGTGATTTTCGTGACCTCAAAACTTATCCCAAATTTTTATGTATTTTAGGTTAAAAAGATAAAATTTAAATAAAAGATGACGCTCGATAGATAGTCCACCCGGCCCTTAAAGAGAAATCGATTGTTTTTTATCACAGTAAAAGAGTAAATTTAGACACAGAATTGATGATGATTTTATCAACTTTCTTACGGGCTAATTTAATCAACTGAGACATTGAATATTGAATGGTTGTGAGAAGTTAAAAAGTTGAAATAAAACTCATAAAAGTCTTTTTAAATAATAATTACGAAGTTAAAAGTTGGATACGTGACTTGAAAGTTTACAACTGAAATTTTTTAATGGCTGACTCACCGTGTACACCGGGTCCCTCATAACAATCATAATTATCGGCATAGAATCATCAACGAGAGCTAGTGGACCGTGTTTCAATTCACCAGCCATAATTCCCTCGCTGTGCATGTAAGTTAACTCCTTAACTTTGAGTGCTCCCTCCATGCACGTGGCAAAGTTGTAACCTCTACCCATAATTAAAAGGGATTTATTCTGGTACAGGGACTTGGCGAGTTCCTTCACTTTATCATCCAGCTTCAGAACTTCACGGATTTGGTTATCCAAGTTCTTTAATCCTTCTATAATCTACAGTAGAACATTGAAAAATGCATCAGTTCAACCTTTTTTTCTTGATACTCATGACATTATCTCTCCAATCACGATTAATGCATTACTTAATATACGTGAGCAATCAATTATAAATGAGTCGACATACCGACGGTAGTGGCCGTGCGGTTAGAGTGCTGGACTAGCAAGCCAGGGATCCGGGTTCGATCCCGGGCACCGGCGGTCAAAAATATATAGCGCTCTGATCTCACGGTTTCACTGCCGAGCGGTAGTCCTGTCAAAAGGACGACTGTACCAGGGCAGGTTTTTCCCTCAGATGAGGTTTTCCCTCCCTTTCAGCAAATGCGGTACAGGGAGTTGGGGAGTGGGAAGGGAACAAATCGTAAAAACCCGAAAGGGTATACGAGTGAAAGAAAATTTTATAAATGAGTCGACATGAGACAAAAAATTAAAAAATTAATTTTTCACTATTACAATGCTTCTGCTCGGAAGTAAAAACGTAAGGAATGGTGGGGAAGCAGCAATACATCCTTAAATTATATTAAAATTCAATTACTTGATTTAATCTCAATACAATAATTACCTCAAGACGCCTGGGGCGAAGAGAAATCCTGTCCTCGCTCATAACTAGCGCAAACATGACCAGCGCAATAAACTGTGAAGTGTAAGCTTTAGTACTAGCGACTCCGATTTCGGGTCCAGCGTTAATATGCACACCACAATGTGACTCGCGACAGATGCTGCTACCCACAGTGTTGGTGATTCCAACGATAAGTGCCCCACGACCCTTACAATATCTCAGCGCCATAAGGGTATCAGCTGTTTCCCCAGATTGGGAAATGAAGAAGCACACGTCGTCCCTGAAAACTGGTGTATTTCTGTCCAAAAAGTCAGAGGCTAGCTCAACCATCACTGGCAATTCTGTCAGTTCCTCTAGAAGTTGACGGGTGGCCACTGCCGAATGATAACTTGTACCACAACCAATCAACATCAGGCGCCGACATCTTTTGATCTCAGGAATGTAATCCTGAAAAGTTAAGAAATTCAATTAAATTATATGAAAATTTAATACATTTTTCTAAGGAAAAATCTATTCACGATTCAAGTTTGATCATTCTTAGGAGTAGATCTCAACACTAAACAAGGAACTTACAGTGATTCCACCGAGAGTAACCGAATTATTCTCAAAGTTGAGTCGACCCCTCATTGTATTAACAACCGACTCTGGCTGTTCGAAGATCTCCTTCTGCATAAAGTATTGGTAACTTCCCTTCATGATCTGCTGAATTTCCATCTTCAGAATAGTGATTTCACGTGCGTGTGGATCGTCCATGCATCTACGAAGACGATGGATGCTCAAGGTGCCTTGCTTGACAGCGGCCACATCGTCATCCTGAGATCAATTACCAAACAATTAAGCTTAAGAACTATCCGACATATTCTCTTCAAAACTGAATTCCTTAGCACTGTAACATAAATACTATGAACTTATGAATTCGATTATTAAGACCTGCATGCACAATCTACCGAGCGTAATTTTCCATTTGCATTTTATCTTGCTAATATAGAGGATTTTTAAATTTGTGTTTCAAATCATGTTACGGAAACAACTCCAATGGTTATAAGAAACTCATGATGAACAGAAGAAAAAAATGTGGAAAAGTGGTAGATCGAGATAGTGAATCCAAGCGATCTGTCGAATTTACGGTTCATTACCTCGAGGAAAATAACACGATCTGTGTGCTCGATAACAGCACTGGCATCAGACGCAAAAAAGTATTCGACTTCCTCAGCCACAAGGGGTTGAAATTCAGCTGTTGAATCACTTCGTGATATCACTGGTACCTCAGTGCTCCTTCCATGAGGCCTGTGATCTGCTCCAATTGAGAAAATAATCGTTATCATCATTACCACAGTTCAATTTCGATATTACTGAGTTAAACGTCTGTTGATTGTCAGTCACTATCCCCAAACGTAAATTATCACCTTATGTTTTCAACTTTATATTACATTAATAATTAATATCGATCCTAAAGTAATCCGAGTGCTATCCACTTTTATCAACAGATATGCCAGAAATTTGATGAAGAAAATGGTGTAGAATTGAAATTAAATCCAGTTTATCTGTGCTACTTCTTATTTTTAAAGTAGATATCTTCAGGACAGATGATAATTTCACTACAGTTATGCATTGGAACTGAAATTCAACATAGATATGTGAATTTTATGGTATTTAGCAGTACCACAGACCATGTAGGTATTATCCAAGTGATTGGTAAATGTCTAGAATTATTCCAACAAGCCATTCTACACGTGTCATAGCGAAGTGCGTAGGTGTGAATTCCTAGTTAAGGATCTGAAGAACCCTTTTAGGAGAAACAATTAGTTTAGGAGATATGGTTTTTTGTACAACTTTCTCTTCATTATTGACGAGAAAGTGGTCGGCTCCAAAGGCAACACATGTTGATACACTAACAGACAATGGACGCGGAAAGTGATAAATGATTTAAACAATCCTAAACGGATGGTTCAGACACCAAGATTACAGCACAGCTCAGAACTTGAGGAGTTAGTCCTCAGTGACCCAGAGAGATTAAAATTTCTCTGATGAATATCTGTGATGGCAATAAAATAGACATTTACCAAGTGGTTCTGTAGTTCATAATAGATTCACATCGACTGTTCTCTAATCTTGGATTTCGTAATTTTTTAATTTTCTCATTAAATTGGCCAGGAGAAATATTTCACAATTCGAGAGAATTTCGAAGGAAAACGTCTAATCAAAAATAATCCATAGACTTCGTTTTTTCTTTAAAGTCTAGTGAATTCAAATTTTGTTACTTATTTGTTAATGAAACACAAAAACGTGGTGAAAGTTAAAATCTTTTTAGCTATGGTTAAAAAATAAAAAATACAACTGAAAGAGTTTTAAAATTTAGATTAGATGCACTCAGATTTCCTTATGACATTATTGCAGCAATTATAATATCACTAAGATTACAGGATTATTGTGAAATCGATTATGTTGCTTCAGTTCTCTGCAACTGAGGTGCGCCTTAAATTGCATTGTTATATGACGAATGATATATTTGATATCTAGAACGGGTGTTCGAGAAATAAATCAAAACAAGCCAACTGCAATTTCAATTTACAATTAATATCTTAGAGTATGAGAGAAGTAGTTCAAGTTTTTTAAAACACAAATAATCATCATGAATATAATTCTACCGCTATTGTACTTCAAGATATTAAAAGGAACTGATCTCTGAGTGGAATTTATTGATCTATTTCCCTTGTGAGAGTTCAATCCTAGATTCCTTACCCTTCACCTTGCACTATAGATGGATGCAGACACCAGTGCTAACACATCACAAGCTTAAATTAAAAAAAATCATGTAATAAAGCAGCAAAAATAATGATCAAGCAGGTTAATATCATTTTCATATATCCAGAACGGTTAAATATCATTCAATGAATATAAAACAGTACCTTGGGTCGTAGCTTCACCCTCTGAGGATCATCAAACGTAGATTGATATCATGATGAGGATAAAAAAAATGCATTCATTATTCATCACATCAAGCTAAATCAATAAACTATGGACAATCTTTACACATTGAGAGGAAAAATTGAACAAATAGTGGAACAAGCAAGACGTGAGGGTGTTATATTCAACAAGGAAGAGATTTATTTAGAAATAAAAGAGGAGGAATTTAATTGGACACATCACTAATTATTCTCGAACACAAGCCAAAAACCAGAATAGAAAACTTAAGATAATCATTTGATTTTCATGATCAGTTAATTATTAATGTTTATACCTTTGGTTTCACGCAGAAGATCATCTGTTTCAGGCAGATGGTGGAGAATGAGGCCGAAGAAGAGATCATGCAAAAAATAATTCACGTGTAGTATCCATTGATTTTACGTCAAACAAAACAATCAAATTGATATAGTAATCAATGGCAATGGTTCAAATGAAGCTCCTGTCAGTAGCGATAATTTACACACTACTATTTACCAAAAATATATTAAAATATGAACTAAGTTAATCAGCAATGAAATTCAATAAGCTAATCCGAAAATCATTTTCATTAATTAAATAATGAAATATCTCAGGAATTAATGCAGACGTTGATCGAATAAATCATTTGTTATCTATTCCACTGAAACAAATCAATAAATCAACCAAGCAAAAGCTTTTACTATTCGTAAAGTCAAAATTACGTTTTTGAAAATTCTGGTAATTATTTAATTCAAATTTATATAAATACAGCGCAAGCTTTAGAATTCTTTCTTACTCAAAATTTTGATTGCTTTTCTCTTCGGGTTATTAATCGGGTATTCATGCAGTGAGTTGGTCGTTGAAAGGAATGTATTAGTCGACAGTTGATTTCATGCACAGAATCTAGTTACGGAACGTTAGTCAATTAATTTTTTAGGATATTAATTTATCGCCACCATAGGGTCACCTTACGAGAATCTTAATAAAGTATGTGACAACCTGTTAAACTAGATCCATTCCTCGCCTGTAAGACTCCCCATGCCTCAAACTTTTTCATAGAGTGTAATCAAAAGTGATGAATGCATATTTAATTACCAATGAGATTGCTTACCTTTTCCGTAAAGAATGGGAACGTGATCGGTGAAAAGACGAGTCTTTGTTTTAATTCCAACGAGAAGGGGGGATCCCCGTCTGGTGGCGACGCATTCACCCGGGAAGAACTTGCTCTTGAAGCAAAGAGCAAATGCACCTTCCTAAAGTTAATAAAAATATCCATCTATTAAACATACCATTCTGCGTAAGGCTAGCCAAAATGGAAAGGCATTATCTTAACCTTAACCCTTAACCCTGACTACTAACTTTTGTAAAATGAAAAATGGAAAAACTCGGTCCGTTTGTATACTTTCGGCTGAAGGCCCTCGGGCGATAGGCTTTTGTAAGAAATTGCATGTTTTGTGTTTTTAATGCAACAAACTATGCAAAAAATAAAAAATGAAAGATGGAAAATTAGACAGTGTCGTACGACACAACGAGTAGAAGGCTTAATCGAAAAGCACATAACAGATGACTATTAACCTGTCATATTATCTATCATTTTTATTCACCCTAAATAGTTTACAACGAAAGTTACGGGAGACTTTCTTTTAATTTTCTTATTTCGGGAAATTTTCTTTTAATCTATGATTTTTCTACCAACCCAGTGGGTGTGAAGATACTTCAATAATAATATAGATTTCGATAAAGTGGATAATCCCAAATAGTTTGTTACGTAAGGGAATAGATTTCATGATCTAGTCAACACTTTTGTTAACTCAAACTTCTTTGTAACTTTTCCCAAAATCTATGATAAACTCACCAATTGTTGGACAACTTGTTCAACGAGTTCTCGGAATGAATAACTAGGATGCTGAGTCCAGAGATGATGAATAAGTTTTGCAATTACTTCAGTATCTGTCTCACTCTCGAAAATGTATCCCCTCTGCTGCAGAAGCGTTTTCACTTCTTTGTAATTCGTCACAATCCCTGGAGATAAAATTGACAATTAGTTACATTCCCTGTAATTAGATTTGATTAACAACCGCATTGACTATCTATCGAACGTTTTCTTTTGTTTCAATTCTGTCTAATTAACTTAAGGCCCGGGCGGACTATCTATCGAATATCATTTTTTGTTTAAATTTCATCTTTTTAGCCTAAAATACATTAAAATTTGGGATCAGATTTGTGTTGCGGGAGCTACTCAAATGGTTATAAAAAGCTAATGAAAAAAAAAGAGGAAAAATGATTGAAGGGCGCTAAATATATATAACGCGATAATGATTGAAAAGGATCCACCAATTTACAAAAAAATAATAAAGAATGTACAGCTTACCATTGCCCTCCACTGGATGGAATGACAGCCACACGCAATAGTAAGCGGCATATTTTTTATTATGTTTTTATAAACTTGTTGAATTTTTGAATTTGTTTCAATCAATATGACGTTTCAGCGCCCTTCAATAATTTTTCCTCTTTTTTTCCATTATCTTTTATAACCATTTGAATGTTTCCCGCGATAGAAATTTAATTTCAAGTTTTAATATATTTTCGGCTAACAAGATAGAATTTAAAAAAAAGATCGCTTTTGATAGGTAGTCCATCCGGGCCGTAATTGAAATACTAATACACCAACTGACGGATTGATCGATTATTGCAGTATAAAAATTGAGTGGACACTCACGGTGCAAAATCGAGAACAAAAGGTCTTCGAGAGATCAGAGTGGTATTCACTGGTCTTATCGACTATCTCAATGATAACAAGCTAATGGATTAAGATGTTCGACAATCTTTATGATAATTTTTTAAGATCATTTCTGAGTACTTCCTGAATTCTGCGAACATGCACTTACCGTTATGCACTACCACGAATCCATGATCGTGATCAGACCTTTGAGGATGAGCATTCACGGCGGATGGTACACCGTGGGTTGCCCAACGAGTGTGAGCAATTCCCACGTGGGAATCTGTCGATTTCTCCAGATCCAGATTTGTTCCTAAAAGTTCATCAAGTCATCATTAAATTAATTGATCAACATTAATAGTTATTTATTCATGGGAAATAATACTGTTGATTTTTATCATCATTCGCTGCAGTTGTATAGCAATTGTTTTATACTTTTTCGAAACTTATCGAAATAAGTGGGGAATTGCTCTTTTGTTATGTAATTTTGTACGGTAATTTTTGCTAATCATTCTGCAATACGATATTGTCGTCTGACATCTTCGAAATTTTAAATTAACAAAAATCATTTGAAAAATTATATGAATATACATATAGCTATGGTAATTATTTGTCCATTTCAATCTTATAGTAAAAGAAATTTAATTTTGAATTCTGTGGCAGCTCCAGAATTCAAATATTTTCAAGGGGTGAATCTTGGACAATTTTTCTCATATATCGAAACAACGATGATTGTCATTATTTCCATCTTCCCACTCGACCCAACGAATCATCAACAAGACGTTGGAGTAGTATTTCATAACATTTATTTCTTCAGTTAGAGTCAAAAAACTATTTTTGGAAAAACTTAGAAATTTAAAAAATGAATAGATTAATTGAATTTTAATTCATATCGACAACGAGGCCTCAATAATACTCATATACAAGAAGAGAAGATCCAATTCTAGGGCTGCATTAGAGACCAATCCGAGATGAATTTTGAAAAAGTTTGCCATACAAATAAATGCGTACATACACTCCGACGGATACGCCTAAGAAAGGCATTTTCCGACGTTTTGAGGTATGATTCAAGATAAAATAAAAAAATACAAGACTTAAATGTCGAAGTTACTATATCTCCATTCGAAAGCAACAAATGGCAAAACTCCAGAAAGAGCATTAGAAAAATTATCCCACAATTACGAAAGTTAGTGACTCATCAAATAAAAATCGAATCTAAAAATGTTCAATTTTTTTCATGTCAATTTGATGAACAATTTACCACAAATGTGCAAAAAAACGTTTGATTTTACTCTTATCACGTCTTCAAGTATACAAATTCCATTGCTAAAAGAATTGAACTACTGCAAGTGAATTGATTGCACCCGTGTGAAGTTTTTTCATTCTTTTGAATTTTCCAGAGTGAAAGGTGAACTCACGACTGAAAATTTCATCCTCAAGCGCTTTGACCTTTCCCTGTTTCTTTACGATGGCAATATCTTCCCCATTAGGAGAGTCCAGAGCTACACCTGCAAAAAAATATATACAGAAATGTGAAAAAAAAACAGAGATAGTTGAAAATGCAAATGCAACAGGTTTTGGTCAGTAATATTTATTTTTCCTTTCTTTGAGAAAGAGATGAAGACTCGTTGGAATACATTCCTTGACCCTCAAACGTGTCCTGGGTTCACATGACCATTAATGAAGGATTTTTAATTCATCGAATGTATTACCTGCAGAATCATATCCTCTGTACTCTAACCGCTTCAATCCTCCGACCAGGAGCAGTAGAATCTCCTGTCTCGTCTTGGGGGTCAAGTGGTTCAAATACGCGAAAATCCCTGTAACAGATCAGTAATGTGTCAATTTTATCATTTTTTCTCAATTAAAATTGTTTAGTTTTTGTAACAGAGAAAAATCAAAGGATGCCCGCAAGTGAATGTTTTCCCATTGCAACTATAACCTTGCCATTATGAAAAAATAACGACCTTGAACAAATTCGAAAGACTTTCGCTATCGCCCTATTCCCGTCAAGGTGACAATTCACCCGCTCCATTAAATGCGGAAACTTCATCTCGACATGACAATCCCCTTAACATAGCAACTCTCACACGACTGCATTCCAGACTCGCGACTTTATCACATCCGTTTCCGATCTATTTTTAAATTGGCGAAAAATTCCACCGCAATAAAGCGATGCATTTTCCAGGAACTAGAGAATACCCGGAGTGTTTGTCTTATCATGATGTTAACAGTGATAACGATTGAGAGATAAATATTGATTACCGTAGCGGAGATCGGTAATCCGGAAAATCTCAACATCGTCAATCTAGGAAATACGTTTAATCGTTATTAGAAATACAGGGTTATCAAGACTGAATCTAACGCATCCAAAGAATTTTTCCATGAATGCATTAATTAATCGTTTGATAAGGAAACTGAGCGGAGTCAGGAATAAAATTGAGTCGGGCTCGATCGGTTGAAAAACTTGGAGGTGACCGGATAAAGCATAAAGGAAATGGGCGAAACTGACACTTCAAGAAAAAAAACAATTTTTCCATCGAGAAAATATGTTGGAGCATCTTCAAATCGGAATATAACCACAATAAGGGACAATGAACAATGACAATGTCGATGAAAATAAATTGTAAGGCGGGTGGGGCAAAACGGACACTCAAAATTCATTTGAATATTCGCTCGATTTTGAATATTCATTAGATCTCGTAATTCTGCATATATTGCCCAACTGAAAAATTGAAACTATGGCGGCACAATTTTCATTCGTACAAGCGCGATCTATATAGCCTTCTATGTCCTATTGTACTCCAGTATCCAAACAAAAAAAAATGATGAAACAAATACAAAACTGAGAGAATCAAAAACATTGCACAGGGTCTGTTTTGCATCCATCTCCCCTATAACTGAATTTATTTGATGTAGAAAAATCGTATACCTTGAGAAGAGTAGGCGAGGGGAATAATTTCATGTCTTAAAGGGATCAATTCGTTTGAAGTTGAGAAATTATATTTTTTTTTATAGTTCTGCGATTCTTTTTAAAAGTTTAGGAAAACGCTGAAAAATGTTCGCACTACCTTGAAAGCTCGTGAGTCATTACATAATGACAAAACGCAAAAACATAACATTTTTTAACGTCAATCCGCCACAATATAAATCATTTCCCACAAGATAAGTGCAAAAAATCGACATTTGTATTTGAAAAAAAAATTGAGAAGCATAAATAGCCTATTACTGAATAAAAAATGTCGATTGAATGAATGAGAGAGAATTGACATTATGCGCTTTTCGAAAAATCTGAGAACAGATAGATTATCTTGAATACAAGAAATATTTCAGATAATCGTCTGCATAATGCTGTTCAGGGATGGGAAAATTGAATGTATAAAAATACATTAATAATTACAACTTATGAAACAGAGAAATCAACACAGAGAAATGCCAGATTTGTCGAGAGGTTTTCCAGTAATTGTTGGTTTTCAGATAAATGTTAATAATTAATTTTCTACTTCCTCCTGAGAAAAAACACTTCAATATAGATCGAAGGTGAACATGAAAGCCCTTCCCTTTTATATCAAATGTCACGTACTAATTACACTGACCGAAGACGATGGCTAAAGTGGTTAAATCAAGTTTTTTTCATTTTCTGTCTAAGGGGAGTGTAGACACCAAGAATCATCGAAATATGGTGGAAAAATTCCCCTATGAAGCCTGATTGATAAACGCCATGTCGGCCAGGTTTTCCATGGTCAACAGTAACGTCTGTACGTGGGGTACAATGCGACATCGTTGGAGAAGAAATCGGTCCATGACGGCGCAAAAATGTAAAAGCCGGAATAAGGTATACTGGCCAAAATTCATAAATAAACACTAATTACGCCGTTGGAAAATTACAGTCGAAGAAAAATTCATGTCAAAGAAAAACTTCAAATTTGGAACAATTCTCCATTGACGAATCATTTTATTTCTTGTATATTTCGGAGATTCTCAATATTGAAAATTCAAGCAATGGTTTGCCGGAATTTTTAATCATTGAAAATGGAATTTTTCATTAAGAAATCGAATATTATTTGACATGAAAAATTCATTTTTCATTAATTTTGAAGAGAAATGAGGGATTTAGTGAGGGTTCTAATTAAAATTGAATTAAAACTCATATTCAAAATCCCAACAACTTTATGACTGAAAATTCAAGATACTACTTTATCGTCGTAATCGTATTTCCCAACACATTGGCCCTAAACATCTGTCAATTCTCCGAGTATAAATGAATAAAGTAAGAGTTTCTGTTAAATGTCAGGAGTTATTTGTCGGTCAGTTGAGTGCCTCGACTATCCCAATACAAAATAAAATCACAAGATATTGCGGGGACACGAAACTTTCACTCAGCCCCGATAACTCGTTCCGCAATTTTTATCCATACAGAGGTAAAGTAAAAAACAAAAAGTCGAGTTACAGCTGAAACTTTGAGTACGTGAGTTGGCGTAGGTCGTTGTCCCGAAGGCGGACCTTATTTACTAATAAACCATATGTACTTATCTGATGAAATAACTAAATATTTTCTAAACTTGCATCACCAGAGAATTCAATTTTCTATTTTCCACCGCTCTCTCATTTTCATTCGAGATGAAATGGAAAGTTTTTTTTTAAAGTTTCGCCCTTGCTACGGCAGAAAACGAAAGCTACACGTGGAATGTGGGAGATGACATTCCACAGAAATCAATGTTTTTTTTTTAATTATCAGAAAAGAGGCCTCGCGTCCGGCGCATTATTTTCGTTATCAGGAGAGCAGTGTAGGATCCCAAAAGTGTACAACAAATTTTCTATTTGAACTCACTCATTCAGGAATTGTAAATAATAATTGAGAATACACGCCAACGTGACACGTATGCTTGAAATAAAGAACCAAGAACCAATGGAGCAGATGGTGTTATCACAGGCCGTACAACTATGAGACAATATAATCACTGGGATGTCCCACATCAGTGATTGTTATAAATATTCATGGATCTGTAGTCTCCTGGCTAATAATTCAATTATACTCGATAATTACATGCTGGTAAAAATTTTATGATAAATAAAGAATTATTTAGTCATCCTCCGTGCGCTATTATTCCCATAAAATGAACTCAGTCATCTATTTTTTTGTAAATGGCTTTTTTAATTATCCAATTAAAGGTATTTTCTTTGAAAATCATTGATTTGTAATTTAATCACTGTGTCTCCAATTTGTCATTAATTTAGCATTAATATTATAACTTGTCATCATCTAATTGTTGACAAATATTTTAGATTGATTACTCGGAACATCCTGTACTTTTCAAAGTCCAAATAGTCAAAAAATAAAAATTAAAAATAAATTCACGGAGCATAAAAGGGAAAAGAAATCGCGCGAGAATGCAGCGTATCAGCGGATTCCCTGGATAAACGAATTCAAGTCGACTGACACCTTGGAAACCGCGGACTTCAACTAAAATTCCATCCCCTCTCTCATTTTAAAACAGAGGCTTATTTAAATTACTTCAACAAAGTATAAGCAGTCGCGATTTTAATTAATCCACGTTTACATCCGAGAGATAGATTTTGGGAGGCCTGTTCTCTCCAGGTACGCAAAACGTGAGTTACACGAAACGAATTAGGGAAATTCTTAAGCGAGTTGTTTTCGTAGTTGAAAGGTAAAATTAGGCGTTTCTACCTTGGACAGGGCCTATCGACTTCACTAACTTTCGATTTTTTTCCATGCATATTATTATTTTACCATTGAAATATAAAATTCTTCTTAAAAAGTTAAAATTAAAATTCATCTCACGTGTCAGTGTGCAGTTTTGACAGTTTTATACTTTCTAAACAAGTGTGTTTCCATTGAATTTTCGATACGCTTTTGTACATCCGGTCACATACAGTTTTTGGATAACTGAAAGCTACAACGATTTCCATATTCTAGGTCATCGAGAAAAAGTATCGATATACTTTTACAATTTTAAAACTTTTGATACTGTATATGAATAGTGAACACTGTGAAATTTTTGTGAAAATATATAGTGAAATCTGAAAATATTAAATCATCTGGAAAGAAAAAAAATTGCCAGGTACTTTTACGATTTTTATGAAAATTACCCTTTACCAATTCTCGATTTCCTTAATTTTCATGGTTTATTTCATGTTCCACCGCTGTATTGCAACTTTATAATAATTTTTCAAGGTTTTGACATTTTTGTGATTTTGATGAAAGTCTCCATTACCGAATACTGAATTGAGATTTTATTTCTTTTACCGGAAAGTATAGCAAATTGTATCTTCAATCTGTACTCTGAGGGAAAAAAAAGAAAACCCTCTAATTACTCTTGCTTAAGTTAAAATTACCCTTTGGTTATAAAGCAGTCGGTCCTATTGGAGTCATTAACAAAGGACTCAACATTTCGTTAATTGAGTATAAAGCAATAAAAGTGCTAAACTTGTAACTTATTTCTTCGATTATTGTTAGAATAATGAACAGAGATCCAAATAGTTAATTGCCATCTATAAATAACAAATTTTGGTTTTAGACACTGATGTTATCACAATCTATCATCAAGGATGAACCGATGAAAACTCTTGAATTGTGGAAGCTCCCCAAACAAAATAAAGGTAAATATACAGTTTATACACTTTAAGGAAATTTCATAACCGGGAAACGTATGAAAACTCATTTTCATCCATTATTTTTATGTTTGTTTTTTAACTAATGAATTATTTCAACTGATCACTCACGACACAATCTCACAAGAAAATTACATTAGAAAATAAAAATAAACATACTATTGACATGCGTAATAAACCACTGAGTTTATTAGAGAAAAACTTTAAGAAACTCATTGAATAGTCTAATAATACTTTAAATTATCCGATTATTCGATTGAGATTTAAATGCAGAATTACAGCAAGGGGCGGCGAATTTTCAAAAATGTTTGGTAAAATTTCATCAAGTATTGAGTTATTCCCGGTGTCTTGGCATACATATGTTGATTATCGAAACGTGTCATCCATTCGTAGCACAAAACTAATGGATGACATCATCACACATGATCTTTAGCAATGAAACTAATCGAAAAATAATGAACTTACCGCACATATTGCTCCTTGTTTTCTTTTGGATGATGGTAAATAGGTGATTGGAGAAATAACGGGAGTAAAAAAGTAAGATGACTAAGTGTGCTCAGTCGGAGCCAGTCTGAGGCAGTCTGAGCCGTGAGGGAGCGCTTCCACGGATTTTATTGGCCTGGGGAAATTCCGACGATCGGGTGAACTCCAGACCACCAGATTCCATATGGTGAAAAATTCCATCTTCATTTCATTACACCAATAAAAATCCCATCCTTCACATAAATCTTTTCATAAAAGAGTCAACCTTTCAGCAAAAAAATGCATGCTTTTTCCATCATTTATTTTTAATTTTTTATTTTGCAGATCATCTGGGAGATATTTTGATTCACGTCGTAACTCGTATTGGCGGTCATTTGGTACCATTTTGCCGAGACCGTCGAGACTAAAAAATTAAGAAGTATAGGATTAGATTGAAGGGGCGAAATTTATACTTGAAAATTTATTCCAAACATTGAAACAACATTTTGTTATTAACAAATTGAACTTTTTTCATTGATGTGTGTATTTTTCTGTACTTTCCATAATGTCGGGACAGGACTCATTAATGAGTTATGAATATTTTATTTTAATGAGTCTTCTGTAGTTTTAATGGACGATGGAACGCTTGAATTGTTAATATTTATTAATATAAAAAAAGTTTAATGATTCAATTTGTATGAAATTTGAAAAGTGAGAAGGAAAGATTGTTTCATAATCGATATCATACATAAGTAGTTATTCTAACGGAACTGAAGAAAGAATCGCGACCTTTTAACTGTTCTCTTTGGATTTCGAGTGAAGCAAAATGTAGTCACATTGTCCCTTTCACTCTTGACATATCCCCAGACAATCCTCCACTTCCCAATTGCGTTTTCGCCTCAGTCCATTCGTACAGATGTGAAGCAGTGATAAAAGGAGAAAAGGTGATTCCTCCCATAAGGGACAATTTTGTTGGTAATCTTAATCTTAACATCTTACAATTGGAAACGAAATTTTTGTCATTACAGATTTTATAACTGACGAAATTTTTCACACAACAGTGTGAAAAAAATGAAAAAAATCTCAATTCGTCTCTTGAATCCCAAAATATCCATGAAAAACAAAGCAATAATCAAAGTCGAGGTATCAAAAGATTTTTAAAAATACGATCAACCATTAATTCTCTTTATTACTGCTGAAAATATACATATTTATCATTGCCATGTACACATTTGCACGTAATTCATAATTAACTATTTATCCTCCCCCAGTCACTCTAATCGTTAAGTACAAAATAATATCAAGACACCCCAATAATTGCTCGAAAGTCACTTTCCCTCAATTACAATTACGTGGACAACAAAAATAATCATTCACATTATGTATTGAAACTGTGTCAACTCGTTATGGTGTTTATCGAGAGAATTTCCATCTATGTGAATATGAAATTATTGATTAATCATCTGTTGCATTTTCTCAACACTAAATCAAATTTTTCTGCAATTGTCAAATGCCAATTCTTCTCGTGCGATTATCATTGCCCCTCAATTTTCTCCCTATATACAGACTATTATTAGTTATACACTAAAATTTCAATTTCATCTATGATCATTTTCTAAATTTTTTTATTTATTTATGTACTCCATGAATGTTTTATGGAAAATCTTCATAACAATTGCGTTAGTAGCTTCAATGAGTCTGATGGAAATTTAACAGTTTCATTGGAAACACAACTATTAGGTGATTTTCTGGGATAATTCTAAGATATAAGCGACACCTGATGATTCCCTTAAAAATAACCAGCGATGGTTGGCAGAAAAATATAAGGAAATCGATTTTTCTTCCAGAAAAATCTCTTAATTATTCATAGTAGATAATAGGAATAAACGTATGAGGTAACTGAATAAATAAACACTTGTAAATTCTCATCATGAATTCCGTAAAAAACCTTTAATTTACGATGTGGCTCGATTAGATTAGATTCCTTATGCATTAATAATACCGAGAGAAAATAATTGATTTCTTACAACTGTGTGTTTCTGTAAACAAAGTAAACAATTTATATTATCAATTACATTAAATAACAAATTATAAAAGATTCAAAACTCTGCATTGTAGTGTTTTGTGTCTGGCTTGAAGATATCGATGAATTACTCATTTATTCATAATTAACAGTGATTTAATAGTTAATAGTTAATGTGGAAAGTGATATTTCAATCAAGCCATTCTTCCATGTTCATCTGAATGAAGTAGAAATAATAAATATTCACATACAAATACGTTTTTGATTAATATATGTAAGAAGTCAGTACTGTTGAAAGAAAATTGATGAAATTATTCAATTAATTTCTTCCTTCTATCCTAATCATTTTAGAATAAATTAAAGCCAATTACGAAATTTAATTGATTTCTCATCGAAATGTGTTAATTACCATCCATGTTTTCAATTGTAATTTTTTGTCCCATGTTTCGGTTTCGGTGAGTGCCAGCAGTATTTCATAACAAATATAAATAAAGTGGCATTTTTACAAAGCGAAGAGGAAATTAAATGTCAATCTTTATAAAACGTTTCGGATTTCCAACTAAAAACTGATTTTTGGGATTCCTTTGCCCTCTTTCCAATAAGTTCTACTGTTTCTTTAAATAAAGACATCGCAATTTTAATTCAATTCTCTACTACAAATAAATCCACTAGTGGTTTTCCACTTTTTTTTAATAATTATTACTGCTAGGCGAAGGGAATATCTCTTCATTCCTTCATTCACTCTCTTGTATTATTCTGGGTAAAATACATATGCTGGTACTTTATATGTATAGATCGAACTACTACGACTGTTTAGGGATAATTAACGCATACAATCTCGTAAGAAAAAAGAGGTGGTGAATAATGGAGAATGAGTTCAAGAATTGTTTTGAGATTTTTCTGCAGTAAACTGTAGAATATCTAAGAAATTTTAGGATTTAGATATTATTACAGCATTTTAATAGAGCTCAAAAAAAGTAAAATCGCTGACAAACCTTTCTCTAAATGTCATAGATTCAAAAATACTTGCGAAATAAAGTAAATATTCAATTTGAACTCATTTTCTCTGTCCTCTGAATTCCAATTTTTTTTTTTTACATAATTTTTTTCATCATTTGTTCAATGATTTGCACTACCTTAAGTCACTACACATGTTTCCTTTTCGATACAAAAATAACACGCAATGCTATTATCCTCTGGCATTGCTTTGTACATTCGCCTGTGCTCCAATGAAACCAGAGAACCAAAATTTTAACTAAATAATCATAACCAGAAAATATAAGTTTTATTGTATTCCTTCAAATGAGAGATCGATCAATTGACATTGATTAAAATTGCGGTTCCAAATATGAGAGCAACATATGTAGTAGCAATTGGTTGTTCACTCTCGATAAGACGAATTTTACTAACAAAAAAAAAACGCTTAAGTATTCAATTTTCCCCTAAATTTTCTGTTCCATCTCGACGTTTTACATGAATTTTAATTTAATATATTGAGATCGTAGAAAAGTGAGTTACGCATTGATTAATTCATTCCAATTAATCATGGAAATAGTAATTATTCCTCGTAAATCCAATAATTTATGCTTCACTTAAATTTTTAGAGATTGAATGGACTCTGGCGCTGAAAAACCGATGATAGTAATGAAGAAATGATGGAGAATCCACCTCTTTTGATCAATAATCAGTACTCCAAGATAATGATTGAAAAAAGATGAAAGTATAATTTTTAATGTTTTACATTGTTTTTTTTTTTACCAATTCTGCGGCAGGGGCACTTGTTTAAACAATTCTGAGGCAATGAAGCATCAGAAAAATCTGCCCAATATGCCCATCGCACGCCCTAAAATGCAACGAACATTATTTTCACCACTATTTACAACGCAACTACCTGCAGATGTCTAACAATTAAACTACACCCCCCCCCTTCTCCCTCATACGTTTAATTCAACGAATAAAAACCGTTTACAAAAGACAGTATTTACAATTGCGGATAAATAATGTGAGCGACAGCATAAGCCAGTTCTTGTCTTGATTCGATCGAGGGAAATACAGAAATTAAAATAATTATGCAGATAGCATACAAATTCGATGATTCAGTTTCTTTTCACGATAATTTTTTCATTTCGTGGGCTGATCCTTCGATCATCGAGAATGCCCGAAAAGTCAAAATTACACGTTAAAAGTTCCCATGATTACACGCTGGCCCATTTTTAATTCAAACGAAAAATCGAACATCGTGAGGATGACAGGCGTCAACTAATCTTTCTAATTGCCTCCAAAACACCTCGATTCTCTGATCTTTGACGATCTGAGGATACAGTCCGCTCAATACTTCCCTGGAGGGTATTCACAGACAGGATTGCACAAATTTGTAACCTCAAGTTACATTGTTTAGTGATTGTTACCCTTACGTTGTTCTGCACTCGTCTTCTGTATATGTTAAACTGGATATCTGTGGAATAAAACCATACATTGACTTTCCACTAATTGACTGGAATTTGACATTTTCATTCAAAGGAGATAACTTTTCATTTTTAATATAAAGAAATTGCATATGGGAGACGATTAAAAAATCGATTTAACGATCAATTCTCTTCGTTCACGTTTTAAATCTTGAAAACGTGTGACAAAATTGTCTTTCCTCAAACTATGTTGAAAAATCTGTTTTGACTGTTAGTCAATTAAATTACTCAACGTTTTTCAGCTTGCAAAAAGTTCGTTAGTTTTTCTGTTCGTAAAATATCACAAGTACTTTCTAATCTTAAAATTTATATTTGTCTTTCGTTCATGAAAAAAATCAAGTCCTGGATAAAAACGGCCTACTACATATTTCTGTCAACCTTCCTACCCCGAAAATGTTCAAGTAAATTATATAAATATTCATAACTAATTAGATATTTATATAATCATCGCTAGTTCCTTATCTCACCTCGTTTGCTCTGGTCTCCGGCTCTCCGAAGTCGTCTCCCTCCAGATAAATTTCTGCCCCCGGAAAAATATACTTTCCCGAGGACACCTGATAGTAGCTTCCCTCTGGCAGCCTATTCGCTAGGCTCTCTTTGATCTCCCCTTGCCACCGCCTCTCAATCTCCTGTCTCTTCTCCTCGATCTCCTTTGCTTCACTGCTGTCCACACTATTACAACTGTCTCCGATCCCCGAGTCGATGGCAGAGTCAATAGATGCATGCCTAGATTTTCCATATTTATCTTCACCTTCTCTCTCATCTCTCCTCTCCTCACCCTTGACGCCGCTGTCCTGATCGAGAATTCTGGGGAGCACGTGGCACTCTTCGAGATTGAAAACCTGTCCATTATTCTCAGGCGTCGATTCGAAAGAGACAACCCGGGTGAATCTGAATCTCTCGCCATCATCACTGGACCTTGGAGTGGACCCACATGATCTGGAGTTAAGCCTTTTGGGGCTGCTTTCCACGCTGGATTCGTCCAGAGGCCTCTTGGGGCTCTCCAGTAGAGAAAATCCGTCATTTCCCTCCATGTGCCCAGCATCAAAAGGTGATATACAAATTTCAGTGCTTCCCAGATGCTTGGGAGTGGTATTGGAATTGATGCTCAGGCTATCTTGACTCTCGTTGAAGAGATTATGCTGTTTGAGAATGACCTCGGTACTGTCTTGAGTAGAGGTAGTGCTCCTTTCCCAAGAGTCCTCGAACCTGGGTGGCAGCAGATGGGGCGTCTCCTCCAGGAGCTTTTCACTCCAGCATAATTGTAAGAACTCTTCCCCCATCAGGTGGCACAATTGATTAATGATGATGTCACCATCCCCCAGGAGTTCTACGTCGAATTTTAAATGAGGAAGGGATTCTCGATTGATGAGAATTTGAGGTATGTGTGAGGGAATGGATGAAGGTATAAGGGCGACTGGCCTGACCTTGAGGGAGGAGCCGATGACGATTAAGAGATCGCACTCGTCCTTATCCTTGGCAATGGAATCGTGGAAGGCGTCGGGAAGACCCTCACCGAAGAAGACAATATCTGGCTTCATGATTCCCAGTGAAACTAAATCCGTGTAGTTCTGAGAGGTATTGGTTGTGGCGAGGGAGGGTAGAGAGTTGGTGCTGCACTTGGGACAAAGGGGAATTCTCTGGGAGAAGATGTCAGTGCGAATGTCCTCTGCGGTCACCTGGAATTTGCACTTGGTGCAGGAGGCTGTGGCAAAGGAGCCGTGGCACTCTATCACATTCTCGATGCCCGCTACTTGCTCCAAGGTATCAATGTTCTGGGAGTAGTTGCGCAGTAGCTTTTTGTGTTTCTCCAGCATCTTTATAAAGCGATGACAGGGAGAGGGCTTGAACAATCCTGGGTAGATTTCACGGGCAAACTTGAAGAAGGGGCGAGGATCTTGGGCGAAGAAATTAATATCGAACATTGCTTGAGGATCTGGTAAATTGGGAAAGTCTTGTGCAAGTCTAGAGTAAATTCCATCTCTACTTCTGAAGTCTGGAATTCCGCAGCTGACGCTCACACCAGCCCCAGTCAGTATAATAATCTTTTTACTATCTTTTATCAATCTAACAACGTCATTTAGGGTATTGACGTAACTCAGCTTCTGTCGTCTCGGTGGATCTGACATTATGTTTAGTACAAGCTTCCATAACGTTATATCATCCACTTGCTCTGGAATCTGAGTGGGATCCATTAATAAATGCTGAAGTAAATCCCGTGGGTCTGTGCCAGTCTGCATTTGCTTCTGTACCCAGGCAGATGCACTCCTCCACAACTGTCCTGTCTCCTCAGACAACTCTGACAAGCCAGATAAATCCGAGAGATTGGAGACCGTCGATGAGACCTCGTCCTTTTCATCGGCAGTGTCCAAAGGACAACCAGTATCATCGCTTGTGGAGTCTGTCCTCGATGGTGTCGACGACAAATTCGTCGATTCCGGAGTGTTTGACATAGATTTTGCACCGTCACTCATGTCTGTGAAACCGCTGTCACCACCAAGTGGTTCTAAAAAAATTCAATCACGAAATTAATTTCATTCCAATTTCCAATCGTCAAATGTCACAAACTAATGCCTTTTTCTAATTCTTCTTCAAACATTTAAAAATTATGAATTTCTCTAAAATTATAATTACTAGGACTAACCATAGGAGAAAAATTATTAACTAACGTTGAGAAAATATAGTAAGCATTCTGACATCGTTTAATTGATAATTTTATTGAAAACAGATCAACAATCTCCAAGAGCATGAAATAAAAACAATAAACAAAGATTATTCTGATTAGCTAATCATAAAAAAATCATCATCGATTCAATTGATTCTCCCCCCTTTCGTACCCGGAGAAATAAATCTCCAAGCCATATGATTTTGACACATTCCAAACGCCAAAGTACCGCGTAAACGTCAAACATTCCATTTAAGCGTGGAAATATTTGTTTTGGCAGAGTCTGATGCCATCTGTGAGTACTCCTGAGCTCTACCTTCGACTTGACTGTCGTTTTACCGAAGCCCAACAGCTTCCAACAATTAAAAACCTTTCCATCCACTCACCCTCTCATTAATCCCCTTCAAAACCCCAAAAATCGTAAAGATTATCTAAAATCCCCTATAAATCACCCTCAAACCGTCATCCAATACCCGGAAAACCCCTTCAAATCATCAAAGTAACCGAAAAAATTTTATCTTGAAAAATCCGAGAGTTCTACCTTAATGGCGGCCAAATCCCTTCCAACCCATTCCAAACGCCTCAATTCCAATGGGCGTAGACCACTATCCATCGCCATCTTGTTTTTCCCAAAATAATTATTAAAATAATACCATATTTCCATATAAATACCTTCAATATCGATATTTTGAGTATCACGATTGACTTTGACCTCGGGAAAATCGATATTAAAATGTACCGAGACACCATAAACTTTACTCTCGATTTTTCTACGTTTCACTTGAGAGGAATATTCTGGCAGCTCCGAACCCGACGCCATTTTCAACAGCAATGTCTCTGAGTAAAACGTAAAACTTTAGTGAATGATGATTACCCATTTCATCGAGAGAGGGCACTAGTTTATTTCCCACGAAAAATCACAATTTTCGGATGTGTTTGGCAGATCAAACCATTAGGCTCATCGCGAAATATTTATTTTTTAAAATTGAATTGTATAAAATATTGGTAGCTATAATATCTATAATATAATCATAGCAAATGAATATAATGTATATAATAATGTTTATAAACAATAGACAGACGTTGATGATGATGCTGATGATGATTACCATTTGGTTTATTCTGTGATTTAATTAATAAAATTATTTTATTGCTATAATAGTTTCATGGAATAGTGAAATTAATTAGAAGAAATGTTAGTATCATTAAAGAAATGAGCGGTTATTTTCCATGCTAATGAAAAGATTAATTTTTGTTATGGGTGTATGTCTTGCCCCACTCCGCATCATAACAATTTTTCCTTCACCAATCCCTCTATTTATCCCATAATATATCCTCCCCACTATTATTTATTTTGCAGCCAATCAGCACCCACGCAAGGTGCAATAGGGAATTGAGTGGCAACTTGGCAACTGCGCAATCATTTTATGACTTTTTCAATAGTCGAGGGAGGATTTAATAATTTTTTCCCGTGTTCAGAATTCTTCACAATCTAATATTTCCTTAACACTTTCTACGACATTTTTTACACCAAAAAATTACTGGATGGGGATTTTTTGGCGGGTTCTTACAAAATCTATTTTTTACCGGCTATAATATATATGAGCTATGATCTACCCGATCTGCCGAATTTTTCGGCCATTCGATATCACTGCGCCATAAGCGAGAATATTTTCTTGTAGATTCAAAACATTTGATATTTTTTTTGTTCAAGGAGTTTGTTCCTGCATTATTATTGCATTCAATTATTTCAACATAGAAAAGTCAATTATTTGATATGAATTCACCGTTTTCGAGGCTTCGACAGTTTCATCATTTTTTCAGAGAAGTGTTAAGTCGTCAATGCTGTCAACAGCATAAAATGAAAACAGATGATCACCGGAAATGACAGGTCGTTGGCACAAATGATTTTTAGTTCAATATTCTTCCGCCTGGCGCTGGTCTTTTTCCGGTCCAGTCTTTTCCTAAGTTGCACGATTATCGGGCAAGATGGTACGTATTTGTAATCCACCAAATATATTGGAATCTTCAGTTATAAACAATAGTGCTATACTTATTTAAGTGCTGAATTTATCGTAGAATGTTACTCTGTGAAAAGTGGTGACGTCTGTGACAGAAAAAATCGGTTCAAAAAATGTTTTTAATTGGGGCTATTCAGGGGTGGGGGAGACAAGCATGGATTTTGGCCGCTGTTGATGACAGCGGTGGTGATTGTTGTTCTTAATTAATAATTTTCAGAGGATGTTATCGGGGGGGAAGAATCGGTGGACATTGGGCGATAAGGGGAAAACTGGAGTGGTTGTGTTAAGGGGTTGATTTTGGGGAACTAAATGTTTATGTATGATAACCTCAAAAATTATGTTCTTTTCAGACTGAAGGCACAGCTACCATCAGAACTAGAAAGTTCATGACCAACCGGCTCCTATGCCGTAAACAAATGGTGAGTTTTTGTATCTACGAAATCAAATAGTAATTATTTATCTTGACAAAGTGTTTCGAGAGATTTGAGAGACGTTTCTTTTTATCGTGAGATTTACTTTGTTACTTCCTCATTAACGCACTCATTGCAGAGATATTTGTCTGATAATGTGGCATTATTTTCCATTTTTAGAATTAAATAAAAGTAATGTATGGTTTTTATATCATGACTAGTTGGGTGTACTGAAGACTAACAGTCTTCATGCAATTGAATCTAGACAGTTAGATGTTGATTAAAAAAAAAAGATTCTTGAATGGATTTTATTTAAACGGAATTACTATTTTTCGAACGGTTGTATGCCAATTTCGATACGCTATCAACAACTTTTGATCAAATCGATGGAATTGAAAAATTGAAATAATTACATCGAATGCTAAAGTAATTGGCAATCAATGTAAATTGTAGAGGGTTACATAATGGTCAAATTAAATCGTACACAAATGATGCCATTTCAAAGAACCAACATTGTTCTTTGAAATGAGATAAAACATGAAAAGCACATTTTCATGTTGAATAGAATTTCTCGAGAAATGATGGGAACCTCATAACTCGTGTATTTTTGTGAAGTTTATTTAATGAGTTTTTGAATGAGTTTAGAGTGTATTATATTAAAAACCGAAGAAAAAAGGAGCGTTTAGGAAATTCACTTCTAAATTCTGTATTCTGTATTCTGTATTCTAAGCATTCGTTATTTATTTTTATTTCAGGTTGTGGATGTAGTTCACCCCGGCCAGCCGTCAGTTCGCAAAACCGACATTCGCGAGAAGCTCGCTAAAATCTACAAAGTCACCCCAGATGTTGTTTTTGTATTTGGATTCCGTACAAACTTCGGTGGTGGCAAATCAAC